GATGAGCAGTGCAGAAAAAGCTACTCTGGGAAGGCTTTTTCAAAATCGCCCTCTCTGCAATGGCATTTGAGCCCTGTATTAGGGTTAAGGGTGTGCACCAGGGTAGGGTTAGGGTTAGGAAAACGAGGGGTCCTGGCGTGATTCCGATGGTTGGAATGTGTTTAGAATGGGCAGAAAGAATGAGCAGCGCAGAAAAAGCTACACCGGGAAGGCTTTTTCAAAATCGCCCTCTCTTCAATGGCATATGAGCCCTTTATTAGGGTTAGGGGTGTGCACCAGGGTAGGGTTAGGGTTAGGATTAGAAAAGCGAGGTGTCCTGGCATGATTCTGATGGCTGGAAATTCTGATTTATTTCTACAAAGAACTCAGAATGAGCAGACAGAGTGATTCTCTCATACAAAACGCTCACATGAAAAGAGAGCTGTGTCTTACCCCCTGTTCTTGGCAGATCTGTGTTAATCTTTCCAGCTGCTCGTCTTGAATGACCTTTGCCTTCTCATATTGTTGAATCACCATCTCCATTTCCACTTTAACTGGTAGCACGTAGGCTGGAAACAAAAGAAGAGACGGTGGCCTTGCACCCAATAGGGACAATCATCTTGAGGCAGTGTCCATCACAAATTAGTCAGGACAAACAAAATGATTTTAAAATCATTTAGGGCCATTTACTGATAGTTGGGGTTTGACATACCGCTTAACAAAGGTGATGTTAGGAAGTCATAAGGACGTCCCCTTCCAGGAATTAGCAGTCTGGTGATCAAAACGGTTACCTGCTCCTAAGATACTCTCCATTCAATACAGGTATATTGAATTTTGTGGGACATCCTCTCTATTAGAAGGAGTCAGTCCTTCGTCAGAGTCAGGGGTGCCCATCTCAGACCAGCCATTAAGAAGTCATTCTAAGAGGGGGTTTTCTCATGACCATTAAGTCAACTTTACTTAGGAACACTGAGAGAAGGAAAAACGTGGTGGTGGATTCTATCAGGCCAGGCTTTGGTCCACCCAGCTGACGGAGACTGGTGACAGGTCTCTGGGGACTCAGGCGGATTTTTTCACATGACCTCATAGAAACATAGAAGAGCAGAGCTGGAAGGGGCCAAGGCGGCCATCGGGTCCACTCCCTGCTGTTGCAGGAGACCAAGCCACACCATCCCACTCAGATGGCTGCCCGGTTTCTTCTTGAATGTCTCCAGTGGGGGAGAGCCCCCCACCTCTCCAGGCAGCTGGTCCCACTGTTTTTATTTCTCTGACCATGAGGAAGCTTCTCCTGATGTTCAGCCTGAATCTGGGTTGTCGCAACTTGAACTGATTATTCCGTGTCCTGCACTCTGGCACCAGCAGGAAGAGATCTTGGCCTTCCTCTTTGCGACAGACTTTGAGGTACTTACAGAGGGAGACCATGTCCCCCCTCAGTCTTCTCAAGGCTGAGCATGCCCATTTCTCCTAGTCTCTCCTCACAGGGCAGAGTTTCCAAACCCTGGATCATTTCTGTTGCCCTCCGCTGGGCCCTTCCTAATTTACCCGCACCTTCCTTAGCTAAAGACAAGCAATGGCAAGGACTGAACCTCAGGCCTTCTGCAGGCAAGGCAAATGTGCTGCTTCGGAGATAGAATTTTCCCGTTGCCCAAGTCTCGGTCATCTCTTTGGCTCCAAAGTGTCCTCTTGACTGACTTAGGGATTATTTCCATACAGAGCCCCATAAATCATATATTATTTTCGTATAAATCATAAATTATTTTCCCTTCTCCCCCAGGTTCAATGCAACTAGAATGTGACAGAGAAGAATGCATGCATGTGCGCGTACACACACACACACGTACGTATACAAACATGTACATGCACACACAGCTCCCAAAAAGAGAACACATGGGAGCGACAGATGACTGGGAAAAGGCGTTGCCAGTCTTCCTGAAAGTTCATTCCGACTTACCATCGATGATTCTTTTGACTCTCCAAATCCTCAGTGTGATGATAAGGCTAATAGCATCCCATGGACTGCTTGGGCCGTTGGCCACTGTGGATGCGACCATGGGAGCCAGGGATAAGATTATCACGGCACCATCAAATACCTAATAGCAGAAGGATTTCAGAGGCAATTCTGACACATTCTTTCCGAAGGCGAATATTGTTTGCACAGCTAAGCAGAGGGCCGGTGCACATCGGTCCAATTCCATATGGATCCACACCAGTTTCTTGGCATCTCCAGCTGCCTAGTTTGATGTTGCTTTTATGTTATGTATGGTAATATTTCAACTTGTTAGCTGCTCTGAAAAGTTTCCTGAACATGAAAAGCACTTCTGAAGCCCTTTAAATGAAGTGGCATTTGGAGTAATCAAACTTGTTTTGGACCAAATCACAGCAGCCCCTAAATATTAGTAAGGCAGCAATCAAACACTTTTCTATCGACCACACCTTTCAACAATTGTACACTTGCACCGTGGCATCTAAAATGCTTTACGTCTTTGAGATGTCCAAAGCTGTCTAGAAAGGGTTTAATTCTGGACTAATGGGAGCCACACGACAATAGAAACTACGCAGTAATGTCCATGTTTTAGCTCTTGAACTCTACACCAATTTTAAAAAAGAAAAATGGCAACTATCATAAGCCTGCATTCCTTACATTTTAAACTGAACACATGGACATTCAATCTGCTCAGTGATAGCAGATCTTTTTCATCTGGTGGAGAATCCAGTTTTGTTAGCAAAATTGCTGCGGCTGAGAAGGGCTACAGCTCAGTGACGAAGCAGATGGGTTTGCATTCAGATGGTCGTAAACTTGTTCCCTGGAATCCCTTCATGAAAAGGGTTAGGCAGCAGTGATGTGAGACAGCCCTGCCTGCAACCTTGAAGTTATTCTGCCAGTCAGAGTTGACAGAACTAGGATAGATGAATAAGCAGTCTGTCTCAGAACAAGGTAACTTCCTAGGTTGAGCAGAAGACTTGCTGTTCATGGCTCTCTATAATTCTGCAAATGATACCTCGCTGGAGATAAACAGCACTTATCCTATGAAATGCTTGGCCAATTAGCAAACGCTGTCTTTCTGATATTAGACGGTTCAAAATCTGCATTCTAGACCTCTAAGAGCAGTCCAGATGCTCAGGATAATGAAGCACACACTGAAACTGGTGCTGGCAAGGACTATGCATTCTCCATACTGGCTGGATTCATGGGCCAAACATAACTAAATTTCAGAGAAAAAGCTCCCGTGGTTCCCTAGGAACAATTCCGGTGGTTTGGAGTGTGACTCACAGGGTAAACCTTTTAACTATGGCATGTACCGAAATCACTTTCCGCTTTCTTTAATTGCACATGCAACACCCTACTCCCAAACTCAGTGCAAGGCAAACATGCTACTGAAGATTAAAAGGTAAAGGTAGAGGTTTCCCCTTGACGTGAAGTCCAGTCATGCCTGACTCTCGGGGGCGGTGCTCATCTCCATTTCTTGGCCGAGGGAGCCAGCGTTTGTCCGCAGACGGTCTCCGTGGCCACGTGGCCGGCATGGCTAGACACCGAGGTGCACGGGACGCTGTGACCTTCCCACCAAAGTGGCACCTTTTCATCTACTTGCATTTGCATGCTTTGAACTGCAAGGCTGGCAGGAGCCGGGACGGAGCAAGGGGAGCTCACCCCGTTGTGCAGATTCGAACCGGCAACCTTTCGATCAACCAGCCCAGCAGCACAGCAGTTTAAACCACTGCGCACCTGCAGTCATTAAACATATTTAAAAAACACAAAACTTACCTCTATTTTGTTTTCAATGTAGTCCCAGATGCCAAGAACAACAATTCTCAAAATAGTCTAATAAAAAGGTACGTGGTGAAGGGGAGGGGAGAGAGAATTGGGGAACAGAGAGAGAGAGAGAAAATTACTGTTCATCCTTTCCATAAGCTCATTTTTCTTTTGCAGCAATCACATTTGAAATCAAGATTTATCCCAGTTTTCAGAAGAAGTGCCCAATGTGAACATCTTCTGTCTGTTTTTAGAAGCTGCGGATGCAAACAAATTCCCTCAATCAACAGGCAGATGTCAAAGCAATTCACAACAACTTTGCAAGTGTTTCTAACTCTCAAATATAGAAACATCTAATAAAATAGCATGGAATTAGGAAGTTCTCTTCATTGTGCTAACTGCTTCTCAGCACCATTCTTCTCAACCCGTAAAGCAGAGTTTTAACTGGCTGCTTTCAACCAAGTTTTTGTGCAACCTGGTTGGCCAGTTTTGGAGTGGTGAGTCCAAAACCCTCAAGTGCTGAAACTCAGTTGTCAATTCGTATTTATTCATGTCAGTTCTCCTATTATGCCTGACAGAATGAGAGGCTCTGTCCAGTCCCCCAGAGATCTTTTGGTGTCCATCCATCCATTTATTAGCTCTATTTCTACACTGCCAAAGTTCTCTGGGCCATTCGCAAAACTCAAATCACGAAATGCAGCATCATAAAATACAATATGAAACTTTTAGGAAACCATTATAAGCATGTTTAAACAGAAAAAAAACTCCCCAAACACCCAGCATTTCCCAGCTCTAGGACTTTTTCTGCCAAAACTTTCAAAGGATGCTGTTGTTAAAAGTACAAGACAGAAAGCTACACAAGTGAGATCCAGGCCTAAATTACTTGTATAGACTAATAATCTCTTAGCTTAACATCCCGACAGATCATTGTGTGGATAGGATGTGGGAGGAACCATGCAGGATACCCCAGGTTATTGGGAAAAGCAGGTGCATTAATAATAACATAATAAAATAATGGTAGCAATTATAAAATATATAATAAGAGATGCCCAAGGATAACAAACCTGAAATGGCCTTGAGTAAACCAAACCAAGCAAAACAAGCCAAGTAGCAAACACATCACAGGAGTAAATTATGAGGTGTAACATCAGAAAAATACCGGGATCATTAAGCACTAGAGGCTTGTTTCAACAATTAGGTTCCACTGAAATCATACACTCCTGTAGTACGGCATCTCATACCTGGAACACATGTCCAGTGGCTTAAGGTATCTTAGACAAAATAAAATTCCCCAGCCATACTATTCAACAAAAAAGCTAGGAAGAAGTAGGATTTCTGAGAAGACAGGTCAGAAAGATGAACAAATGGTCATTCTCTGCCTTTAGCTGGCTTTCTTTCATAATGGTATTACAAAATTTTGCAGCGGTATAATGTTTGCCCAAAACATGAACAGACACGGAACAACAGATGGAGGCATCCCTTTCTGGCCTCTTCTGGTGAGCTAGACGGAGCTGAACTGGGGCCAGAAAACAATTTCGCTCTTTGTAATCTTCCCTTTACATAGGTAGGATTACCAAGAACGTTTCTTGAAAGGCATTTCACAGATGGCTGGCCGAGTTCTCAAAGCCCATGTAAACTGGATGTGTTTGCTGCTGGTAGAGGAGGAACAGCCGAGCTCAGGGGTGTATAAAACCAGTCTTCAGCAGGACCGCTGTTTTAATCAGCCACACAACAGCCTGTTGAAAGGAGCATAAACGCCTGAGAATGACCACTTCTCATGGTTAGTCCCCATCTCCATCTCCCCGAGACCACACAGGAATATTGACAGAAAACGGCAGCAGCTGTGAGGATCAATGGACGAGAAGATGCTTGGAAAACAAGGTGCCAGCATGATCCTTGCATTGTCCAAACTCTGCACAACTCTGATATTCTATTTAAAATAACGCTGCGGAGGACCAAAAGCAGCTCAGGAAATTAAAAAATTAAATTAAAAGCATTAAGAGGGGGGCAAGGGGAAGAGCAGCAGTAAAACCATAATGAAGTTTGGAAGCAAAACTGCTCCTCAGTCTAGAAGCTTAAAAGGCCTCAAGCACCCTCAGAAATAAGACATTTTTGCCTGTCCCTGGAAAAGAAAGGGCGTGAATTACAGAGCTTCAGTGCCACCATGGAAAACTCCGCAACTCATGGACTGGGATGGTATGTAAGAAAGTCTTCTGATATCTCAGCTGATTATAAGAGCTTGGAGGTCCTTCCCATACCCTGGATTTTAAAAGGATTGACATTTTGAACTGGCCCTTGCAACCAAGCTATTTTCTGCATGCATAAAAGATTCAGCTGGGGTAGGATTAATCAGTCCATCTCTGGTCCACGTCAGTTTCACAGATATTCAGTCGCAGGCCCATTCTATCCGATTTAGTCAGCTTTACACAAACAAGCAAACAATGTGCACTAATTTTGCATGCAACTTCCTTAACCTTTGAGCCAAGAACTACATCGCGGCATTTAAAACAGCGCACAGTCTGAAGGACAATTTTATTCTGATCCTCCGATTAGTCTGGGAAGTCTGGAATAGTTTGCTTTAAAAAGTGGCCGGAATGATTAATTTAATTTTGACCAATTACATAGAACAAAATACGCTCTTCCATACATTTTGTTCTTCTAAAAGCCAATATAAAAACAAAGCTCCTTTGGCTGAACTAAGGGCTGTCAGTGACAGGGCTGCAAAAGAAACATTAGCTCAATAAACCATCCCACTGTATTTGCAGTGGTGCGTTCCCAGGGGCAGCAAGTGCCACAGGGTTTAATTTCCTTTTTGGAAGAGAGATCGCCAAGCACTCACAATGCTTTTTCCAAACTCTTTTAATTTACGAATATACACGATACACATGAAGGAGAAGGAGAAGGAGAAGGCAGGCAAGCATCCAAACAAAATGCGCTGGTTCTTTAATAATAGCATTAGTTCCTCAAAGCAAGAAGCGTGTTTTTGAAGTCCTGCGGACCATGGTTCCTGTTTGCAAATGCCAGGTACAAAAGGACAGACCAGCTGGCTGCATTCCTACTGTTCCCCTGCCCGGCAGACAGAAAATGAAACTCATTTCCTATGCTACAGGTGAATGTACACTGCAGTCTCAAAACACGGTGTTTCTCTCAGGAAAGAAAGGTAGAAACTGAATGCCCAAAGAGAGCAATTGCTATGAAAAACCAACGGTCACGTAGCCTTCACCGTGCATCCCATTGGGAGCGGTTCATCTCTTCTCCAAAGCGGAGTGGTCCACTCTTGTCCTCTTGTTCTTACTGCCAGCACTAAGTCACCCCAGATTCAAATCCATACACAGCCCTGGATCTAACTGGGCGCTGTCTGGCCAGCTGCCTGTCTCCCAGTTTAGCCCCCTCCCAGGAGAAAATTATGTTGAAGGACTACTCCACTCTCGCTTAAAATTTTCTGTGCCACTTGGACGGTTCAAAGACTAATACTAAAACACTGGTAGGGTAAATGTCCCCTCGCTGTCACGGAACGGGTGGAGGGCTTGACGAAACTTTCAATTTTTTAGGAGTAACTTATGAAAGGACAAATATAGGACCATGCAGGCTGCCTTTGTTGAAGTCTGTACAACAGACTTCAATTGTATGTTTGCTTCACATTAAATAAACAAGGAGACATAGTAGGTATGTATTCATTGTAACAAATTAACTTAAATATCCTATAAGAAAGCCACAGTATCTTACAATATCTTACTGGATTTTTATTTTATTTTCCGCTTTCTTACGCTGCTGCTTGGACTTCGGTTTTGATGTTGAAATTCAACATAAAAATGGGATGGGCACTAAATTCTTCTCTCCAACCTCTTCTATTTTAGATGCTAATCAAAAAATCTACTTTTAAAAATGCTGATTATATAAAAACTGTAATCTGTAGGTTGGTGGAACTGAATCTGGCAATGCAACAGCTTCAGTAAAATGAATGCATCACCAGTTGCTAGCTCCCTTTATCACTTTGATACGCCGTCGTCACTTCTAGACCTCTGCAGTTAAAGCTGAAATTAATTCTATGATTGCTGTTGTTCACAAGTCAAGACTGATGGTGGAAAAGCACTTTTTCCAGCCAAACTTCTCTATTCTGCCCCCTCTCCTCTGGGCTTGCAATCATTTTCTCTTCAAGTTTTTCTGCTTTCCTGGTTAATATATGCATTTATGACTCAGTGACACATTGAATCTACGCCGTACTTTATTCCAAGTACTGGAACAAATTGTGTTTCTAATAAGGCGAGAACCTGACCTGGAACATTCAGTCTGGAGTGGCGCAGGTCAGTTTGTGAATTGCAGAGGGCAGAAGAGGGAGCAGAGAGTCAGTTTCCCCCTGAACTTGGAGAAATTAAAAACCCTCGCACAGTGGCCCAGTATGTGGCCGCCTAATTAGTGTGACTCAGCAGGAGCCGAGAAGCTGAAGCAAGGAGGCAAAGGACTCGGGTGGTTTTCGGCTTCTAGGTGTATTTGCTTTGCTTTGCATCCCGCTGTCTCCCCTAGGCTAAGGATGGGCTACCTCCAACCCTGGGGCAGCCCATGGGCCTTGCCTAATTTCAAAAGCCCTGGAAAATCTGCTCTTTCCCAGGAAAGGAGGAGGGAGGGAGAGATACAAGGGTGGCAGGAAGAGGAAAGGGGGGACTCTCCTGATTTTGGCTTTGGTGCTGCTGCGGCTCCAATACGCCCCAAATGCAGCCCTTGATGGTTTACCCACTGGGGAGATCGGCAGCAGAGGCCCTCCTCCGGGAACCCTCCGTGAAAGATATTAGGAGGCAGAGCACCCGGAGGAGGGCCTTCTCTGTGGTGGCGCCCCATCTATGGAATGCGCTCCCCAGAGAGGTCCGCCTGGCGCCGTCGTTATTTGTTTTTCAGCGCCAGGCGAAGACCTTTTTATTCCAGCAGTATTTTAATAAGCTTTAATATTGTCTTTTCTATGTTTTTAATTGCAGCCAGTCTGGGTCGGGAATTTTATTTATGTTATTTATGTTATATTTTACATTGTAAGTCATCCTGAGGCTTTTTTGCAAATAGGACAGCATATAAATATTGTAAATAAATAAATAAACCCTGCCCAGGGCGAAAGAAGGATTCTGCAGCGCATTATCACTTATTTGACCAGCGTTAAACAGCCCTTAATAAGCCCTTAAATAAAGCTTTAGGAGCCTGGCATCTTCCAGTCTGTTGGACTACACCTTCCATCACCCCCAACCAGCATGGCAAATGTGTGGAGCAAGGGAGTTGGAGTGGGAAGGGCAGCAGGTTGGAGAAGGCTAACGTATCTCCGTAAATTCTTCCTCCCTGATGTATTACTTTTATTTATCTATATTGTACCATGGACATTGATTGATCGATTTAAAATGTTTCTATACCATCCCATAACAGATGTCTCCGGGCGGTTTACAGCTCCATGCAAGGTGCTTGAAGAGAAACATGGGCAGAGGTCTCTGCCCCAAGGAGTTTTCAATCTAAATTTTAATAGAGAGAGGAGAGGAGGCCAACTGGGGAGGAAGAGGGAGGTGGAGAACATGCCTACGGACCAGAGGCCTGGAAGTGTGGTCCACACCAGAACGAAGCCGTCTCTCATCCCCCCGAGACCTTTCTTCCTGCTCTCAATTGATCATCTTGCCCTTTCCTAACACTCAGAGTGATAATGGAGTAAGAGGAAAGATCTGTCAATACATGCAGCTGTTTATGGTCCTCTTTAGGTGGTCTCAAGAGACGTAATGGAGCAGTCGGGGCTCTAGTCCACACAATTCGTCTCCCCGTCGTTTGACTCAGCACATTAAGGTTAGCTGGGAAATCCGCTCAAGGAAATAAAACCCCCTTTCCTTCCATGAGAAAAACACACACATCACTGGGAGACATTCAGTCCATTTTATGAAACTCTTCATATTTCCTCTAAGGTGTTCGAGGAGGCACACATGGTCCAACCCTCCTCTCTATTCTCACAAGGATCCTGTGGCGTTAGGATGGGAGGAAACCTGAATCCAGGCATTTCCTGTTATAAAATGGGTCCGATTCTGCTCTGTAAGCTTTTAAACAAGAACTCTGCTGTTGATTTAGATTTGCTGCTTTGAATGTGCTTGGATGGTGTTCATATTCTGCTTTTGACCTCCTATTAAGGCAAAAATGCAAGCTATAGATATTTTAATACATAAACTGGGGGAAACTCTCCTGAGTATGTCAGTGGGCGAGTAGAACAGGTGCTGTGAAGGGCAAACCGCGCTCGCTCTCTCTCTCTCTCTCTCTTCCCCTGTCCCCAGGATCTGGGCAGGAATATCCTCTGAAAGCACTAATTCTGCCAGATCTGCCCTTGCGAAGCAGCTTGCTTCACTCACTGGAGAAGGAAGATACCCGCACGCGATCCCATCTGAGAAGGCATGCGCTTTGAACCATTGATCGTGGATCAAGAGGGTGACTACCTGGAGGAGGGCCTTGTCTGCAGTGGCACCCCGATTGTGGGACATGCTCCCCAGAGAGGTCTGCCTGGTGCCAACGCTTCTGTCCTTTCGGCATCAGGCTAAAACCTCTTTATTCTACCAGTATTTTAATTGCTAATTTGTTTTAGTGGTGGGTTTATATTTTAACATTGGATGCTGGGCAATTGCAATTGCTATTGTTGCTATTGTTAAGTGTGTGTGTTATTGTTATTGTCTGCACGCTTGTGCAAAGACAGAACTTGTACCTAAGAAAAGGATCGCATCCACACTGACGGCTTCCACAAATTTCCCAACAACATGTCAAAGGTCCCAAACACTTTCTGTAGAAAGATCGATTTTGCTGGCTGTGGGAAAACTAGCAATAATGGGACCGATCACACTTTGGTGCTGAGGGTGGTCATTGAACTTGGGGCCACTGTGGAGCAGGCCCTGCTCAGAGGACAGAACCCAAAGCAGGGTCTTTGAAGCAGAAATCTGCAAACATCTGCACAGGTGAAGGTTGCCCTTCAGGTACTTTTGACACGGACGATTTAGGCAACAGCCAGCACTTTGGCCAGCGGAAATGATGTATTTGGCTGGAAATGCAGCCAGAGTTATTCAAGAATGTTGCCACTTATTCAGTTGTACTCCTTTGTCACTCGTGAGCCCCGCTTCACTTACCTCTGAAAAGAACACAGAGAGGATGACTAGGCTGATCCAGTGAATTACTCCAGCGAATTGTGGTGCGCTTGAAACTGCAAGTAAGCACAGTATAATGCCGGATAAATTTAGTGTCACGGTGAGCAAATTCCATGTCATTACTGTACCAGGCATACTTTTTAAAGGTATCGTAATCAAGCGTGCCATGATATGGCTGAGCCCAAACAATTATAAGTCAACATATGGGGGAAGAAATGGTAAAAGTAGTGAATTCCCTACCCGTGACAGGAATATAAATAAATATGCGCAGGAAACATACAGTAGACAGGTGAGCGCACTGGAGAAATGACACCAAATGCAATTTATATGAGTAGGATGCAGCAGTGAGAGTACAAATCAGGGTTCCAGTACCAAAAAGTATGGGATCTTGGAGCTTCCGCTTTCATTTTCCATCTGCTCAGTACTCCAATTCCTCAGGTGCTCAAGGCAGGGCCAATGCGGGGAAACCCAGCTGAACTGCATCCTTCCTGTGGAGCTTTCGCCACAGCTAGCTGTGCCACCTTGATTAACACTAATCAGATTGCTACTTAGAACAGGATGTGCAAGCTGCTTAAGACCCTGAGACAGAACTCTGGTTGCCACCGACTCGACTCACAGTAGCATCGTTCTGGCACCAGGCCCATGGAATCGATTTCCAGAATGGGAGGAGGAATTTGCACTAGAGAAGCAAAGGAGCAGTTCCCCATTTGCAGAATGATTCTCAGTGCTTCTACCCTTAATCTTTGGAACCAGACTAAACCTTTTTGTTTGTTTTGGAGGGAGATTTGTTTTTGTGTTCCAGAATATCAAAAGCGGGCCACCAAAAGCCCCAGGGCTAGACAAATAGTTGTTTCGTCCCACCGAAAAGCAAATGAACTGAAAGGCTACTCAATATCCTGACTAATCATGAGAGTGACCTTTAATTTGTCCCATATTAAGACATTCTGAGTCTAAATTAGCTGTTGGTACATGCCGTCAAGTCATGGCCAACTTCTGGCAACCGGATGGATGACTGTCGTCCAAAATTCCCTGTCCTTCACAGCCCTGCTCAACAAGTTCAAGGCCATGACGTCCTTTATCCCTAGTATTACTCTCTTCTCTCGCCTTCTCATGATGTGCCCCGCATAAGAAAGCGCCACTTTGGTCATTCTTTGCTTCCAGGGAAAGTTCTAGCTTGATTTCACCTAGGACTCATTTGTTCATCCTTCTGCTGGTCCTGGGTATTTGCAAAGCTCTTTTCCACCACTATTCTTCAAACACATTCATTTTCTTGTCAGTTTTCTGCACTGCCCACTTTTCACACCCATACACAGTGACCAGGAATGCGACAGGGTCCAGATTTTGGATACAGAAAAAGCACAGTACCAAAAGGGCAGGCAGTTGACCATGTTTCATCCTGGACTTTTCCAGAGAAACTACGATGTTGATCATCTAGCAGGCTCACGTGCAAACTTTCCCACAAAGGCCCTGGCGTAGTCTGACTCGTGTGATGTGTCAATGCAGCGCTCAGAAGAAGCGGCCCTCAATGCTTCAGCTACTTGTGGTACATCCATGTAATGAATGATGAATAATACTTCATATCACAAACTGCCTGAGTGTAACACTCCTCAGTGGCCACACAAGCACTCTCTGACTGACGAAAAAATGTGTCAGCATTGCGTGCAATGCACACAAAGAAAACATATCACACCGTAGCAGAATCTTAGCCCATTAGAACGAACATGGAACGCAACAAACACAGCATCTGTTTTTAATTACAAAAGGTATAAATTATAAAACCAGCCTAGAACTCAGATATCTACTCTACTGAAGCATTTGGTTCTGTACACGAAAGGTCAAGAGCAGAAAACACTCAGCTATGCGGTAAAGTTTCAGTAACACCCTGATGGATGCAATGCCAAGAAACAGGAAAACACGATTAACAAGGTAACAATCTAAGCCACATGTTGGAAGGAGCACAGAAATGTTCAATTGTCTACTTGCACTCTAGTGTTTAAGCAAAAATATACATAACTGAGCATATGTTAAGCTAATAAAAGCAAAGACAGTTTCTGTAGGATCAGCCGCTGTACTATTGACAAAAATAAATTTAAGACCATGGGATGAATTAAATAAATTATATTTATTGCCAATGTCTGTAGGCTTCCCTGAAATAAAAAAGTAACCAGGTCAACTTGCTTACAGACTAAAAAGAAGTGAAAAGCCATAAAAAGAGTAATATGCTAAAGTGTGATGCAGCTTTAATGCAAACTCAAATTAATACCAAAATAATGGACAGAGAATAAAGTATATGTGCTAAAGCTGATTTAGAAGCTAGAACAAGTTTTTAAGACATGGGAAGAAACAAAAGATCTTAGACTGGTTGCTGAAAGGGTGTTAAAGTAGGTGCCAGGAAAGTACAGAGTGCATTCCACAAGCTGAGATTTTCAAAAAGTTTAAGATTCAGGCAGTATTGACCCAATTCAAGAAATAAGATCCGGGAAGTAAGCAACCTCACTTGTGGGCTACCAATACACATCTGGATTGAACTCCCCGCTCAAGCCCTGTTAAACTTGGCTGCACACATCTGTTTGATGCAGTTGTGTATCATCTGCGCAGGATCCATGTCGCATGAATCCATGGATCCAGCAGGGTAAGGTCTGCATATTCGATCATTTGCGTGTTCCGATGTAACAACTGTACAAAACAAATGTGTATAAACTGCACGAGAGACAAATGAAAAATGCAAGCACAATTAACTGCAGCTTCTCCCCATGTAAACATATGGACTGCTGAGTCATTTAACAGTAATTTAATAATTTTCTAATTAGTAATTTAACATTTTCTGACTCAAACATATTAACTTTAGAGAAAGGAGGATATGGAGTAAATGGGGAAGAGAGAAGCAGGAGAGAGAGAATTGAGCAGGTGGACAGGTAGGACAATGAATCTGTAAGAAAGAGAAAACAATGAATAAATGGGGGATATTTGATGAACAACCGGGGGATCTCCAGGGAGAAAAATTGTGGAATGATAGTGCTGTTGAGAGGTAGAAAGCCAAGTCACTCTGATCCTGTGAACTACTAACATGCAGCCTGAGAAAGATCACTTTCACAAGAACAAAGGCCTTGTTGCAAAAATAAAATAAAATAAAATAAAATAAAATAAAATAAAATAAAATAATTTGTCAGCTCCTGAAATAAAGTAACAGAAGTGTTCAAGGAGCAGTTCCAATGCAATCATGATTTATCCACATGGTTTGGCTTAGCCTCCTCCAAAATGACCTACTAAGATATCAGACCAGGGCAAAGCTGCTTCTTTTGCTTTTCACCTGCATTATAATGTTGGCTGGTGGTAGAATTTTGCAGGAATCAGAAACTGTGTTTCTGATCAGAGGCTACAGATGGTCAAAGCCGCGTTCTGAACGCCACCTCCCAAACTAGGGGAAACAGTGCAGCCCTTGAACGCTGGTAGTGTTTTTAAACCTTGCTTGACCAAGCGCTTGGGTCGGCTCCCCTGCTCCAAAGGAGGCTTGCAAATGTAAACCACCGGAGGGAAGTAGCAAGAAAATCGTTACAACCGTGCAGCATTCTGCAGCCAGGTGCAAAAACATGTTTTGGGGCAGGGGGTTCTGCAGAAGAGCCTCTCCTGGCTGATTCCTCTGCCTTCCTCTGGCCTCCGGGGACACTCTGATATGCATAGGAGCTGATGTCATGCCAAAATTGCTTCAGGGCTGTGAATGCACTAGCTGGAAGCTGGGAGTAATAGAGGAACCTCTGCCACAGAGAGCTGAATGCTGCTGTCAGTCAGAGCAGGGAGCAATGGGCTGGATAGTCAAATAGTCTGGCCCTGTTTAGGGAGAAGGTTTAAGTTCTTCGACTGCAGTTGCAAACATTACCCTACAAGTCACGTGTGTTTAATCATTTCCACAGATGGCAAACCATCTTGCTGGACAGAGATACAGAGGTAGGCTAAGCCAGCTCTAGAATATAACCCCACATTATTCCGAATTTTTGGAACCATGTAAGGTGGCTGCTTTTCTTGTTACAGCAAACACAGCCCGGTCTTGAACCCGCTCTGCATGCAAGACAAGCAGAACCACACATCTAAATGCCCTGGAGAACATTGAATGTGCATAAATAAACGGGATTTCGGACAAATGAGAATTAGCAGTGTATCTTCATTCTCATATGATGCTTTCAGAAGTATTAGGAACTGGAGGGGATACTTCTGTGTCTTTAGTCTGCAACCCCAGAACCTGCCTGCACAACTAACTTCTACTTGCTAACTTGTAGTAACTTCTACAATCATCATATTGAACGCTGGAAAGCAATGGCTACTCAGCTGAAGAGAGCCAGGGCGGCCAGGGCGACTTATTTTATATTGTTATTTTTTGCATTTTAATTTAATGTTTGCACTTTACAAACATTTTAATTTATTGTTATATTTAATGTTTGTATTTTAACTTAATGTTGTAAGCTGCCCCGAGGCTTTGGCGAATGGGGCGGCCTAAAAATGTTTTAATAAATAAAAAAAAAATAAAATAAAACGTTTTGGATGCAGGAGATGTCAGCTTCCATGGCATCTCTGCTCAGAAGGACTGATGGGCCTGTGACACTGGAGTGATCCTCCAAGTCCCAGCGGATAACAAAGGTGGACCAAGAGCTGATCTGGTAGATGCCATCTTCTTCCGTTCCTCTTAATTTTTAAGCCTATCCTACATCCAGGAGAACCTCTAGCAACAAAGAAGGGTATAGCCATTGGGAACTTTCAGCCATGTCCCCAGTCCAGGGGAGATGTCAGTACATGATGAGAACAGATCAACGGATTCTGGAATAAGTCTCAGAAGGTACAACCAGCCAAAGGCAGGCGGAATAGAAAATATAGAATAGAACGGACTTGAGACTGTTTACAGCACTCTGATCAGAATAATTGCTTCAGTTCATAACAAAGCCCAAGACAGAGAGGAGTTATATTCCAGAGCTTGTCAACATGAAGACTGGCTCTAACCAGGGCTGGAAAACCCGCATCAGTCTCCAAATTTGATGTCGCTCTTCACACATTGCTTTTTCAAAGTGTATGCCTAAAATCTTATTTCAGCACACAGCCTCCAAGTGCTCATGGGAATAAGAATCAGCAAGGATGTCCATTCAGAGACATGTGTGTCAGAACTGGGAGGGACAGCAGCCTCCTGCTGAACAGACCTTCCGTGCTAAATTGAAGCTTATTGTTCTGAAATGGTGATAACATGGTCCTTAGGGATTTATTGTTGGAAGCCGTTCTTAGGAATATTCAATGCTGCGTCTGTCCTGCGCTGATATCGAGGCCTCTTGGGTTGGATCCAAAAGGTACCCTTCTTCCATCACAGGGAAGATCCTTCTGGTGGAGCAACAGAAACTTTGGTACAAGACTTTGATCTCCAAAGTCCTCCCTGTTATACATTTCCTATGCAGACAACCTTAATGGGTTTAATTCCGCCCCAGCCTTGCAAATACAAATGCTTCAATTGCCTCGTGGGAACAAATTCTATGTTCTAAATAGGTGAACTGTACTATCTACCAAAAGATTTAGTAAGCGCTCCACATGCGCGTTGTTCGGAAAACCTTCAAATGCAGATCGGATTGGGCGGTGAAAGGGAAAAAAGAGGTAGGGTTCTGTTGGAACCAGCGCAAAGGAAAAGCTCAGTGCATCAGAACCTCACCGTGTTCTGCACGCTTCACTGCTTACATTCGACAAACCACTTCCAGGAAAGAAAGCCCAGGGGGCCGTTTCCAAGCGCCCTCCCCAACCCACATTCAGCCGAACTCGAGGACTTTCAAGCAAAGCTTTCAGAAGAAGGAAAAGTCTGCTACTCACAGTGAAGGAGTTTTATATCTATTAGGAGTTCCAGAGTCAGAAGAATCACCACCAAGACAACGCAGGCTACCAGGAAGCTGTTGAGACTCGCACTGAGCAAAAATACTTGCCACACCGTGGCTCGCCTCCCACAGCACGGTTTAAGCCAGTTAGAGCTGAAGAAACAAAACAGGAGGGGAAGCAGGAAGGGCAGGGCGGAGAGAGAGAAAGGGAGAGAGGTAAGGAAAGCAGGGCAGAAACACTTTGGCTGTCTGTGCGAGAACAAGGAAAGGTCATCGAACCATAGAGTCGGAAGGCGCCAAGAAGGCCATCGGGTCCAACCCCCTGCTGTTGCAGGACACCAAGCCACACCATCCCACTCAGGTGGCTGCCCAGTTTTTTCTGAATGTTTTTCTCAGTGGACATCTGAGAAATCATGTAAAAGCGCAAGGTTCTTTGCAGAGAGACAGGTGCGTTAGACTCCTGCAACATCAGCTACGAAAAGCATCTTACAGCACCTTATTTTTTGTTGTTTTTTATCTAGACCCTCTCCCATGTTTACAGCTTGTTATCCTTCCCCTATGGTTATCTAAGTCCTGCTCTCAGTGACCCCCTCATTCCACTATCTTCCCTGCCTAAAAAGATATGAAAAATGAGGGTTATGGAAGCCTTGTTAAAATGAAAATTCAATAGCCTGGTTTGGATTATTACAGCTCGGTTTTACCTGATTGTAATGTAATTGTCTTCAATGAACCACCTCCCAGTTTATCCAAACTAAAAAAACTAGGTTTACCAGCTTCAGAACAAGCCAGGATAGTTAAACTAACTTCAACCATGGTTTAAAATGCTGGCTTGTTCTTTATTTATTTATTTACTCATTCATTTCATTTTTATACCACCCAACAGCCAAATGGCTTTGTTCCAGAGTTGGTAACCAATTTCCAAATTTGGATAAAATAGCCATCGTCAATTTTACTGTAATTTAACAGTTTGACAAAAAAGGAAAACTATGGTTAATGGAAGAGGTCTGTGCTATGAATGAGTTCATATTTCAGCTTCTTATGCTATGAGAGAATAATCCAAACAGCCAGGGGTTATTCCCTATTTTACATGCTGCTTTTATGCAAAAGTGACTCTCCTAAGTAAAATATTTTAATTTTTACGGAGAAATGGGGTTTCAACTCCATAGGCTATGAAATCCTCCGCACAATTCGAGAACCAAAACAAAAAGACATTTCGATGGCTCAACGGTTTCTAGCACGTTGCAGCTGAGAAGTCTTTGGAGTCTGCTGCACCCACTGATAATTCCCACAAGAACATGCCTTCCGCACCGAATAAGCAACCCCGTGTGTTTCGACTGCAAAATGTCAGGAACAGCCCTCAGCAAGTTCAAAGACGCTACGTGAAACATTAGTCCTACCACCAAGATGCTGACAAGAGAAGGGAATGCATCCTACAGCGAACAAGGTCAAGTCCTTGTGAAAACCGAGCAACTGAGCTGTTGTGGATCTCCGGGCTTGGATCTGACCTCTCAGATTAGTTTCGGACCACAGGAAAGCCATTCTTCCAGGGCTTAAGATCCACAGGGCTTTAGGATCCTCCTTGACAAGGATCACCATCGTATGCCTACGTGGATGCTAAAGATTCATCAGAGGAAGCTGCAATAAAGTCTTTACATTGGACCGGGCACTTCAAAACAGAAGCAGAAATAACTTGGACCTAGAGTAGCTAGGGAAAAGAGTTAGACTGAAGGCCAATTGTGGCAATTAAATTTAAGCTATGTGGTTGCTTCTTTATCTTTATCTTCTTTTACTGTGATTTTAGGACCTGTTTCTGTCCTTCTAACTCTTTCACTTTTCCCTAAGAAAATCCCCCAAACAGGCAGCAGAGGGCAGGATGCATATATTTCTAGAGATTACAAAGCAAAGGATTCTTTCAGTCTGTCTGGGATTTGATGTACCAAAGAAATGGAGAGAAGTAATGACATTGCCATGCAAACAGAAATGCCCAGCATCAACCTTGCTTAGAAGCCTCCGAGTGTTTATTGTTTATTTACAGATTGCGTGTTTCCACTCAGCAGGAGTGCTTTGGGGTGATGCTGTATGTTTCTATGTAACATACTCAGAAAGCTAATAGTACCATCTGAAAAGTTGATTCTAACAGTAAAGATCCAAGATCCAAGAAGATCCAAGTGAGGCAGTATTAAATAAACACGTTCAAAATTCCAAAGTTTCCATTGGGCAAAGAACTTTGCAGACAGAAGCAGCCAATGGGATTTACTTGGTAGAAGAAGTTCTAAGGATGGCTGGAAGATCCTCTTTTTATTACAGTGAAAATAGTAAAAAATATTCTTTTTATCTTTTTGAATGGAGAGATACATATTATGGAGATGTATGTTTTGGACTTCAGCTCCAGGCATCAGGAATGCTGGTTGCTGTAGTTCAGGGAAGGCTACTTCAGGAATGTAAATTAATTAAAGTATAAGTTTGTTTGCACATAGAATTATCTAAACAGTAAATCTTTTAAAAGTAAATCATTGTATGAATAAACTCTTACTTCTAAATATAGCAAGTTTGTTAATTTTGTCAGCAAAATGAATTATACATAATGCAATTTGGTTCGTATTTTATGTCTGACAAGTTCTTTATCATCCCAGAGTAAGTTCTTTATCAGTAAGTTCTTTATCAATAAGTTCTTTATCATCCCAGAGGATGGGAGAAGCAGGAGGGGCTGTGAGCAGAGGAAACCGAGGCAGAGCAGCGGTACCTGTCTGTAGGGAAGTTTAGGGTGAAGGAAATCTGGTCTGAACGAAAAACTACTGAGATTTTAATGAACTGCTAAAAACTTTCCCGCTAAGCAATCACATTTAATTTAGGAAACTTTAAGTAGCTGAAACTATTATTGGCTAAAATGTTTTATTCACCCTTTTAAAAGAAATTATTTTATAATCCAAAGGCTTCTGTTTTTCAGGAACAACCCAAACAGTCCTTGGGAAAACCACGAATGACTGCTTCTTCCGAAAGCTGTTCCAGGAGTCATTCCTGGTTCTCCAGACACCTATCATCAGTGAGTCAGGCTAGGCTGAATCTGAGCTTTGCAATATTGTGAAGATTTGGATCCAGGCCTCCCTGGGCCAAGACTATGCTGGGGCCATTGTACCAGGCCAGCTCAATCCCTCCACAAGTACCAAGAGCTACCAGATGTCCAAGCTGGAAATGGATGCGGGAACGTGGGTGAGAGTCCTTGGATAAAAATAAGGTGCATGGTATTACATAAGAAATCAATGATATAGATATATATCCTGATGGATGGACGGACGGACGGATACAGACATTAAGATGAGGAATTACAGTGCAAGGGAAAAGAAAAGAACAATTTCCAATGTTTGGCTCTGCACACAGTCAATCTGTTACCATGTGACATTGCTGCTTAAACGAAAGCTAACACAGAGCAAGAGTGGGGAAAGATTTCCACATTTCTTTGGTAATGAGCCACTACAAACACTTCAGCTCAAACTGCTAACAGATGCCACTATTTCCGCTCCTTTGACTTGAGGAAAAGAGCGGGAGGTGGAGAGATGCTTCTCCCAGAAGCAGCGATGTGGAGCACTGACAGATAGACTGCTTTGCTCAGTGCGGTTTGCAGAACACAAGACAGAAAAGAACCAGGCTATTTAAAGGGTCGCTGGACGCAAATAAATCCTTAGGGGAAAAGAATAGATGATTCTCAGGAGGCCCCTTCCAATTCTAGTATTCTACAATCCTACAAGGCATAAGGTTGCTTCCATATGAGCATTTTATGGCGCAATCAACTTGCCCCAGTCACAGAATTTTACTGGTGGGCGGGTTCCAGAACTTTATTCTATAGATGTGGTGCCCCCGCAGAGAAGGCCCTTCTCTGGGTAGTCACCCTCCTGATCTCTTTCAAGGACAGCTCCCAGAGGAGGGCCTCTGCCTCAGATCTCAAGGGGTGGGAGGGCACATAGGGGAGAAGGCGCTCCTTCAGGTAACCCAGACCAAAGCCGTTTTAGGGCTTTGTAGGTCCTCACCAGCCCCTTAAATTGGGCCCGGACTTCAATCAGTAGCCAGTGTAAACGATAAAGGACCAGCGTTATATGGAATACCTGCTGGTCTCTGTTAGCATCCTGGCAGCTCTATTCTGAACCACTGGAGTATCTGGACTGTCTTCAAGAGCAGCCCCATATAGAGCGCATTACAATAATCCATACTTCATACCAATAATCCAGTTCATACCAGATAGATAAAAACTGTGAAGTTCCATTCTGGAATACGGGCAAGATAACAAACAAGTAAAGGTTTAACTTATCCTCCAATTGAAGATAGGACCAGCAAGCCAGGTGGATGGAGGAGAAACCTCCCACACTCAGGACACGAGCTCAGCCACCGCGGGAGAAAAACAACCTTAGCCTAAAACAACTTACAGAACTATTTCACATGGAGAAACAGTCAATGACCTTTCAAAACCAGAATTAGCACAGAGCAGGGATAAAAGCAGCGCAAACTAGCTCTCCCAGTCTTCTTAAGGCCATTGTTGTCTGCAGTCATTTACTGGGACAACAATTCATTCGAAGAGAATGAAATATTGGATATTGCTATCCAAGGTCCTGATATGATTCATAACAGACTGCGAGGACCGTGTTGCAATCCTCATCTCAGGTTAGAGATGACAGATCGAGAATTGTTTTACCTGCCTGATGTGCGATCAGCTAACTAAAAGCACGGCAAAGAGGGGGAGAGAAAAATTCTGAATGAAAAAGGGGAAAAGCACTGGCTCTTCTTTGGACAGATCCAGAAAAACTAAAGAAAGGAGAAGCCTCTTCCTTGGAACGGACATGCAACTTGGTATTCCCGTCTTCCACGTGATGATGGACCAAATCTTTTCCTTCCCTGCCTGTTCTCCCGTCTGAGGCCAAGACAAAGTTTTCAGGAAAGCAAACTCAGTTAAATACAAGCAGTGGGATTTTGTTCCTTCACTAAATGCCTCCGTTTCTTAGGAACTTGCACTTATCTGTGGTTAAAAAGAAAGAGGGTGGAGGAGTGACAGTTGCCTCAATTAAGCTCCAAGGTAAAATTCGTTGGCCTAGTCTCACGTGTGAGTGCTAAAGCTCATCCCAGAGTAAGGCTTCATTCACGACATATTGACTGTGCCAGCATTGCAAACACGCACCAAGCGTTTAACCTTAACCCTGTGCTTTCCGGACACTTGGGGGTCGTTCGCTGGATGATTTTGCAAGTGACTTCTAATGTTACTAGATGGGGAGAGGATGTGATTGCAAGATTCAGCTCACAGATAATATGAAAAAGTGTTCCAGAACGACTCCTGACTCTAGATCTAGGAATAAATGCATCACACAGATGGCCCGACTCCCTGAACAAATCCAATAATATTAAACATCATAGCAAGGAGGAAGCAATGCCATGCCAATTAGAGCACAGTGCACGGAGCTAAAAGCATGCCTTGCTCGTTCAAAATGTAAGAATCTGAATCCCATTTATTTTAAGGAGAAGTGAAGATAGAAAGGAACTTTGCTGTCACTACTGTGGGTTTTAAAATAGGTCTCTAGTAGTGAATGTGCAGAGCACTTTTGAAAGGTTTTAATCCAGGTTGCACAAACGATATATATGAAAAAATTCTAAATGGCTTTCTAACCAACCATTAGAGAATTAGCAATGGTTTTATTTATTTTAATTTTGCATGCCAGTTGCAAAATCGTTGATAATTAACTGGCTTGCTTATGAAATTGCCATTTTTTTCTATGTTTTACTTTACTCCAGATATTTAGCGTAGATCATGCTGGACAAGCTTTTTTCCAGGGAAACACAGAAATGTGCTTTTAAAATAAATGTAAGCTTGAGTTTCACTGCTGCCTTCCATGTCAACAAACATCCGAGCCAAAATGCAATTATGGCACCTGGGTTTCAAAGCTTTGGCTTCCAGCACAAGGCATGATAATTTAAGTACCACAACAAATGAGCTTGTGACAACCTATCACCTGGGCAGAATTTAGAGAATTCTATCCCTTTCCCTGAATGCTAATTTCACTGCCACAGTCTAGGAGTCTGGGAATGCGACGCCTGAATAAGGCTAACAGGCTTCCTATTTTTTTTCCATAAGGATGACATCATCATCATCATCATCATCATCACCATCACGTAGTTTCTTTCAAGGCATTCGAGGAAGCGTAAATAATCTTCTGCTCTGAGCTACATTGGGCTGAGAGGCAGTGACTGGCCCAAAGTCAGACTAGAACCCAGATCTTCTGGATCCTGGTCCAGCTCTCTAACCACTACGCTACCCTGTGCTCTCCGTTGTTAAGAACTTAAGAAAAACCCTGCTGGACCAGACCCACGTTCCATCCAGTCCAGCCCTCCACACACACAGTGGCACACCAGTTCCCCATGGGAGCCCTCCAGCGGGACGGGCGCAAGGCCTCCACCTGCCCAGCTCCTCAGCAACTGGTGCTTGCAGGGATGCCGCCTCTGGTGAGGAGGAAGCAGGTGGCCGGTGAGGTGAGCAGTCGGCCTCTTCCCTCCTGAATCTGCCCAGGCCACCTACACATGGGGGGCTTGTCATGAGCGCAGCCAGCTGGAGCCGGGGGTCAGACTAGATGGCCCGGGAGACCCCTTGTGACTCACTCTGTTTCCATTTCTAAAGCTATCCAGATTGGCAGCCATCACCACTTCCCATGGCAGCAAATGACATAGTCTAATTCTACACTGTATAAAGAAGTCCTTCCTTTTCTCTGTGCTAAACCTCTCACTGGTCACCTTCACAGGATGACCCCCGATTCGAGCGTTGTGGGAGAAGGGGGAAACGTTAACCCTCTCCACTTTCTCCACATTATGCATTACTCAAGAAACCATGACCACCTCTCCCCCTGGCTTGCCTTTTTTCCAAGCTGAACAGTCCCAGTTGTTACAGTAATATTGTGTTCAGTTCTGGACACCCTACCAAAGAAAGGAAATTATTGCATTGCAAGAAGGGCAAGGAAGATGATCTGGAGCGACTCTGCTGTTCTAAGCGTGATGGCACCAAGGATTTGGATAAGGAGAGTAAGATCTTGTCGGTTCAATTCTTTGTTCCAGTCCATTGTTGCATTTAAGTGTTGCATTTCTGCTACTCAGTGATCTGCAGCGCAGCTTACAATCATCAATAATATATAATGCATCCGTATTATAGCAAAAATGGAAAATCAAAGCACCGTCTCCTTCCTTCTGTACAGTGCATCCAGCAACATGGTAAGCCAGAAGTGAAACGTAATTAGTTCATGACTGAGGGGAGGCCCAGAGAGGCAGGGATAAAACGTATTTTTTTTCATCTGCAAATAATGCAATTAATATTTCGTTTTTCTCCATCCCAGCATGCCAACATTCCAAATTTACAACTGCTTCTACATGCCTGATAGGATACCGCAAGAAAGAAAAGAAGCGCTTTTTGCTAACCCTGATTAAAAGGGAAGAAAATAAATATTTCAAAGATTTTAAATCATGGTGTCATATTATATTAGCAAAGGACTATAATAACGAGCATCTGCTACCATGGACGTGCCCAGTTGGTACCCACAACTATAGAATGGCAAGAAGAAAGGATGCTGCACAACGCCCCAAGCAGCCCAGATATTAGTGGGGGGGTTGCCTCTGCCCCATCACCTGCTGAGATCCAGGTGGGGGAACACCCTGGGCCCTGGATTCCAGTCCCACGTATCTGGGAACCTGGCTGGCTTCAGCGAGACGTCAGTGGAACGGTTTGCAGTGCATCCCTTTAGAAATGTTATAATAATAATAATAATAATAATAATAATAATAATAATAATAATAATAATCCATTTAGACAGAATTCTGTGTAAAAGGTGGAATGCTGCAAGTTGGAGAAATTTTTCATGCTTAATCAAGCTTAGGGGTGTGCCGTCCAAGGCAGACTTTCAGGTGCAAGAGGAGGTAGGGTTTTTAGCTGAGAGGGAGCTGATGCTGCACAAAAAAACAAAACACGACAGGAGACCTGGGGCAAGGGCAGAAAATCCTATATAGCTTCTAGACCACACAGAAAATTTTAACCCCTTCAAAATGCCACTGAACGATCCAGCTTTGAATAGTGAAGATCATACAGGGCTTTGGAAGGTTTGATAGCCAGCTGTCAAAACGGTTCCAAAGCTTCACTGTCGATGTGTCACTCTTCAAATGTTTGAAGATGCTGGCATACTGTTCCCTCTCCTGACTCAACAGACCCAACTCCTTCAATCTTTCTTCAAAGGACCTGGGCTCCAGGCCGGCCACCATCTTCTTTCTTAAACTGCGGTCTCCCAAGCTGGACGCAGCACCCCCAGGAAGATACGACCACTGCGGGGTGGAGTGCTACCATCAGCTACCGTGACCGGACGCCATAACTCCAGCGAAGGCAAAGGCGGCTTGTTTCCTAATTTGACATGGGTGTCCACCCAAATCTCCAGGTGAGCTACGGATTTTGACTCAAAAACAAAACAAACGTATACAGGTAGGTCCCACAAGCAGGAAGACATCCCTTAACATCCGTGCTTTTATAATCAATAACCTTGTTTCCGGAACGCAACTGGTTTTCCATATAAAGGCAGCTGCACATCACTGCTTATTCCACAATCTTATGCAACAAGGGAAGACTAGAAAAGGACCGTGATGGCCTTGGGTTTCCCTGCCGAGAAGCAGATTCTGCTCCATTACGTGTGGCGTAGTGGTGAAGAGCCTGGGACTGGGACTCAGGCAATCCGGGTTCGAGTCCCCGCTCAGCCATGGAGCCCACTGGGTGACTTTGGGCCAGTTACAGACTCTCAGCCCAACCTACCTCACAGGGTTGTTGTTGTGGGGATAAGCTGGAGGAGGAGAATGATGTCAGCTGCCTTGAGCCCTTGGTAGGAAAAAGGCAGGATATAAATTGATAAATAGATAAATAAATAAATAAATACTTTGCCTTCCCCGTGAGCGTCACCAGCAAGCTGGTGGACTTTGGCCCAACTTTGAAGCTAGTTGTTTGCCTCTTGTCAAGCGAGACTACTGAGTTGGTGAGCCACGTAGGAATTGGTCCTCAACATGGGACCGTGCTTGGCTAACCGCATGGATAGACTACCGTGGACCTTCTCAGGAGAAGGAAGGTCCCAACTGGCTGCCAATGGGCGCCTGCCAAAACACTGGAAGTGAAAGAAGGGCCCACTCCAATATACCAGTCCGCACATGGGAAGGCTCACAGATACAAGGAAAGGTACAAGGTAAAGGTGGCTAGTCAGAGAAGAGAAAAATGGTAACTTGATCAATTCAAAGTTCATAAAGCAGTATATTGCCCAATGCACTACAAGCCCTGGATGGGCACAGAGGTGCTTCACTGCTCCCATGAAATCCTCTTGCCTTACACTGAATCAGAGCATTTACTTTCTAGTCCACGACTGAGGCCAGAGGTCCCAGGCAAAGCTTTATCTTGCCCTCTTACTTAAAACCCTTGACTGAAGTTACCAAAGATCGAATCCAGTAGCTTCTGCACGCGAAACGTTGTGGAATACTCTTCCCAAAGACACTGCACTCACGCTTTTAGGCACAGTGCCTAAATCTCCAATGAATTCTTCAAAAAATTCTACTGAGTTTCTAGGACTACTCTGTAAAGGTTTCAAATGCTTTATCGATTACCATTTTGCTGTTTTCCGACCTAGAGTAAATTGCCCTGGAATTTTTTATTAAAAGGCAGTATAAATATTTCATAACCATATAAATGCACTAGCCCAGTGGCCTATTCCCTCTCCTGGAATGGCTTAGCTCTGCTTACGACAAGACGGGCCTGCACTGATTTTTCTTCCTGTAAAACATCCCTCCACAATGGTTGTTCTATACATTCAAGGTGGGAATAAGAGCAGGACAGCAAACTTAAAGGAGTTTTTCAAAAGCCTCCCTGGGAACAGGCTCACTTGAGAGACCGAAATTAACTTTAACAACTGCATTTCCGGTGCACCCTAGGTGGTCTTATTGCTATTTCAAAAACTGGACTGCGAGCCACATTTTTCTTGTGGAACAGGAAGGAAAGTAAGTTTCTCAATAAGCCATTTTGCACTTACCCCTCTCTTTGGTACTCCTCATCCAAATTTGATAAGAGCTGGGAACCTGCCACAGAAAGATCTAACGCAGCTAGCGGCAAATCCCGGTAAGCAAAATCAACCAGCTGAACAGGTGCGATGCTTTTGGTCTCTTCTTCTACTTGCTGTGAAATTATTTCAACTTCTGAAACTCCACCTTCTATTGGAGGCCTAACGAAGTCAATAACAGGAAATAATATATGATCAGCGGGAACTGACAAGTCATCCATGACAAGCAACAGGGTTCATACTTAATTGTAAAAATCCATGCATTATGCAAGTGTAATTTGTAATACTGTGCAGAAAAAAGATATATAGGAACAGGGTTCTTTACCTATGTATATGTACATAACTCATGCTGCAACCGACAAGGATTTGCGTGCAAATATTGCACTGAGTCCTCTCACAATCCTCTAGTGATTTGCATGACCTGAATGTCTGGATATTAATAGTCCCCATCCTTCACAAGAGGACCAATTATGCCACGTTTGCGCAAAACAAAGCGCCTGGTAAGAGCAAATATGAAGAAGGGGGAAAAGGAACGATGCGTGTTCAAAGCAGCCTGTGCTTCCAGTTACACGGGAGAAGGGGAAAGCGCCTGCGTGATGCGGGGAGATCATGTTAGGAACGCTACATGCGATTCATGTTCAGCCAGAGTGGGCGGCCAGGGCCTTGCTCCCGGCTTGCTCCAACACGCAACGCATTTCGGGGCAGCGTTAAGTTGGACGGCTCGAACTATATGGAACTTTCCACTATGGCCACCTGAGGACTATTCCATAGCGAACATGGTTTGAGGGCTGCCGTGGCGTTTGGGGACTCCAGCTGGGAGTCAGGGAGGAGTCCACAAGCGTCAGGGAAGGAGCTGCCTCTGCCAACAGGACTGGGTTGCAGCCCGGGGGCCAAGACTTCCTGCAGTGCACCAACAGATCCGTAACTCCATTCTAACAGGGTGTAACTTCATACAGATTTTGGCTGGAAAATCGCTTTCTGGTGGGCCACTGTTAGAATCAGAAAAATGAAAGGAAAGCTGTGCAGGGTCAAAAGGAAAAGTCCACCATCCCTATTTCCCACAGTGGGCAACCAAATGTCTGCAGGAAGCCCCAAAACAAGACTGAACTTTCATTTAAGCAATTGTTTACGGTCAGTCACCCCTCCTGCCGCTCCTCACAAGACGTACTCAGCTGCCCATCATCCCTGGAAGCAGCGTGGAATCTCCATGTTCAATAGCTCCTTGAGAACCTTATTTGTCTCACCATGTTTTAAAGGCATCTTTGGCCATCCGCCATCACCCAAAGACCACTTTTCTGATTAACCAAAGTGCTGCTTCAGACTTCACCAGGGTTTTTCTCCAGTTGGCATCACTTCACATTTGCATATATTGAATCGCTAATTATTATTACATCATTACTACTATATTTTTATACTGCCCATGGTAAAAGCTCTCAGGGCAGTTTACAATAATAATCATAGACTCATACACTCAAGTCACCCATCCCAATTCTGACCGGGCCTGACCCTGCTTAGCTTCTGAGATTAGGCAAGAACAGGCACTTCAGGCAACATGGAAGCTCCCGCTGGCTCTATCGCTGAGCAGGGACTAGAACCTGACTCTCTCGAATCCCCATCCCATGCATGTAATCACTATACCACACTGGCTCTCTAATGTCAAAGAAAAAGTAAGTTCATTTCCGAATTCCAGGCTTGAAATTCATTTGATTGCTAGCACGGTTAACAAACCATGGGGACTCAATAACCCATGATCCACATGTGGTGGCCCACTTTGCTCAACTTGCCTCATTGGTGCAGACCATGAAGCCCGATGAACTCGGCGAGGGGGAGCCACTGAGCTGGGTCGCTGGCTCACGCACGGGTCATGCAAAACCCCAACATCGTAAATCGGTCACCACGATTCGTTAACCGTGCTGCCGAGGGTGCAAACTCTGCATCATTATTTCCGGTTTTACACCTGGCCAGCAAAAGTTGCACAAGCGGTAACCTGGTGCAGGTAACCTAACAGGTAACACATGACACAGTGACATACAACACATGTCATTGTTCAGACAAAGTCACGGAGGGTGCAGCTGTGAACGGTCGGCCATGGAAGCAACTTATGACTGGGGCGACGAAGTGCATGCTTCCACTAAAAATATTTTAGGATTTTTTTCCCCGTATACGTTAAATCTGCAATAACTCCCTCCTAAAATGGACATTTTCGAAGAAGTCACTTTCCAAATTCTGGGGCCCAGCCTAAGACATCTCAAGCCCACGGGGACCCCTGCTCTACCACCAAACTGCAATCCATCCAAGAAAGGGAGGGATTAGATAGCAGCGAAGTGAAACAAGAATGCGAGCAGAGCAACACTGAAGTCTGACAGACGCTAATCACAAAGAACGCACGGGTGAAGCCAGGGAGTTATAATTATCTGAGTAAATATGTTTAGACTGAGACAACAGCTGTTCCAAGCACAAGCGGTACAAAAAACGATGCCAGATTTTTTCTCATGCTCTGCAGCTGTTCACATGTATGAAGAGACAGAACTGCTGTTGTACACAGAGGCAGGAGAAAGGATGGAGACTCTGGAACGGGCCGCTTCAGACTCATTCATGATCAGGAGAGCGGAGAGGCCAAACACTTTTCGATAAAAGGGCTCCGACCGTGACAAGAGCAAAGGGGAAAGAAGCGTCGCAAAGTAGAGAAACGAAGCAAGAGGGGCCGAGGAGGAAGCAAATGTTCACAAAAAGAACCCTCTCGAGGTGAATGAGTTGTAACAGAGACGATGCCAAAGCTTTGCACAGACAGCAAGGAAATGAAGCTTTGCATCAGAAGTGGAAGGAGGTTCCAACTACTAGCAGCAAGTGCGTTTTCTGTCTGTCTGTCTGTCTTTTTCTTTCTTTCTTTCCCCTTATCTTTTGTTTGCACTCCAGAGGGCTATTCCATAGGGCAGTGCTGGGAAGCACTGCTCCCTCCCCGACAATGGAAAGGGGAGGGACACCGTGCAAAACGCCACCATGAGTATATTCCTGAGAAAGGACCTCGGCGGCGAAGGTTCTCTTCTGCACAGCCTCTTCACCATGTGTCCCAGTCGGCCCTTATACAGGCAAGAACATTTTGACCTCCTGCGCCTGCCACTGACTCTCTCTCTCTCTCCCCCGAGGAAATAGGAGGAGGAGACACCAAACTTTGGGTGAGTACGAATGGTCTTCACATTACTATGAGCATGTTTGACTTCTCGCCACCACGCAGAGCGTGCAAATTCCGGTAGAGCAGAAAATGTGAGCTTAAAGTGTCCTTCCTTTCGCAAGGAAGCGGGCGGCGTTTTCAAAGAGCAGAGAGCCAGGATGGGAAGCAAGCAAAATGTTCTTGCTTGCAAACTTTATTGTTGCTGTGGGAAACCGACTGCAGTCGATGCCCCCAGAAAGGTCATGGTTCCCCTTTTATTTAAAAGCATGCTTTGTCTGAAGCTCAAGCATGGGAGAAAACCCTGTGGCTTGGCCGGTGGTTAGAATAATTCAGCGGAGAGTAACGATTTGTGTGATGCAACCGTAGAGGAAATTGCATACAGTCCAGCTGAAAGGCAAACACCGTCGCCTTTTTTTTGCAAGGAACTTTGGAATGTTGGAACGGCGAGGATGTGTTAGCATAGGGCATTAACAAAAGTTCTGCATTGCTTCTCTGTCCTGCCGCTTACAGAGTGGAAAAAGAATTTTGATGACACAGTCTCACCCTGTCTGTGCTCCTCAAGAGAAGCGCGCTCACTGGGGGAAGGTGGAAGACCCAGACCTAAATTCTGGCCCAAGGCTTGCGAATATACACTCAGCTGCTGAGCCGAGCAATCTTTATGTCAGGATTATGCCGCAAGCAGCCAATTGCGCGAATGTTTTAATTCACATTTCCTGAAACAGTACAATTTCAGCTGTAGGAACTCTGGAACACTTACAAGATGGCATGTTTAATTCCACCAACATTAACAGCATAATGGTTCTGTTTATGAAAAGGATATTTCCCTGAGAGAGGAAGCGGGTTAAGTTCAAGAAAGCTTCCTTTTCCACAAAAAACAGATTTCATTCAAATGGCCTCATATCTGCTCAGCATCCATTTTTTGATAGCACACCTATTCTATGTAGACTTCAGCTGGAAAAGAAGGGTCAGATTTGCAAGGGCTCAAAATATTATTTTTAAGCTTTTCTATCACATCTGTGCACAATGGCACTCAAGCTGTGACTGAGGAGCACGCAGAAACTTCAGTTAGTATAAAACTTTGCCACGTGGTTGCCATCAAGAGCAAACATTCAGGAAACATGCTATGGTGCTGTTATAGGAGCTTCCTGGGCTGCAAGTTTGTTTCTGTATCCAAAAAGAGAAATGTAGGTTCAAGTTGCTGAAGAAATGCTAAGAAGGCCAATGGCTTTCCTGGGCAGGTCCAAAAAGAGACCATACTTCTGTTGAGCACATCATCTGTAACATCACTCTCTTTTTAGGGTCCCTGAGGAAGGTTATGACTAATATATCAGGCCAAAACTCCCTGAGCTTCATAAAGAATAAAGCAATTTGTTCAGCTCTTGAGTCCAGTTCTCTCTTTTTGGATCTGCTGTGGATACTTCCCGGTTCTTTCATATTTTCTAGTTTCTGGGTGCAATCCAAGGTGCTGGAGACTATCTTCTATTAGATGTATTTCTTATTATTGTTTTAAGCTTTTTTTTTTTTAATCTGTTTTGTATTATGGTTGGCACCCTGAGCACCATTTCCTTGGTGGAGAGGCGAGGTATTGATTGAATAAACAAACTGAAAGCCTGAAAGGGTTTTGGAGGCAGGATACATTATAGGCCACCATCTTTTATGCTGGAGATGCAGAACCTCAGGCCTAGAGGCCAAATCAGGCACTCAGATGCCATGCTCCTTTTCTCCTAACTGGAAACTGTAGCAGGTGTTCAGACTCTGGGACTACCTGCTTCTAGGGGTTTTCTTGGTCTGTTAAGGCTTTTCATGCAAAGTCTTTTTGTCATGCAAACATTTGGGCTTAGCTTCTGTTTGATGGTTTTCGTTTTGTTGTTTAGTTGCAAAGTTGCAAAGTTCTGTCTGACCCATCACAACCCCATGGATAACATTCCTCCAGGCCTTCCTGTCCTCCACCATCCCCCAGAGTCCACCCAAGCTCACACCAACCCCCTCAGTGACTCCTCCAGCCCCCTCATCCTCTGCCGCCCCCTCCTTTTGCCGTCAATCATTCCCAGCATCAGGGTCTTCTCCAGTAGTGAACTGCTAATATTTGCTCAATTTCATTATCACACCTTTAAAAGAAAAATGCTACACCCCATATTGTTTTAATCTGTTAAAAGCTGTCTTAACGCTCCCCCAGAGTGGAAAAACAGGGTAAAACTCCAATAAAATAATACATCATTTTATTTAAAATATATAGACTTCATTTTAGGTATCCCCCAAACCGGAATAAAATTAAAAAGTAAAACCAAGCAAAGCCAATTAAATAATGAAAATCATGGAAAAGCAGAAGTAAGACAGCTGAGTCAAACACAAAGAAAACACCATTTAGGAGATGCAAACAGTTTAAGAATGTGGATGAATAAATTGATCAAGTTGTAGGCTTAGATGTTAGTTAGGAATTAAAAACATCTGTACTTTAAAAATAATATGCACATTATAAAACTGTATCTAAAAGACTACAAGAGAAAAGGGATGCATTAGGAACCACTCACTCCCCACCCACACCAAACGAAAACTAGAGATGAGAACTCAAACAGGAGACCTTAATTACACTGTTGCATCCAAGGCCTCTGGGCAAGGAGAACCAACCCTCATCAATCAACGTGAGGCCACAGGGAGTTTAAACATTAATGTCACGATGCACGCTTGTGTCACCGCCATGTGTTGGGGGAAGGCTTTTGTATCTTGGCAAACACACCGTGTAGAGCTACAGCTGGCTTTGGGAAGGTTATCTACACGGTCTTCAGACAGCCTCAAACACCCCGATGCTACGGAAAAGATGCGGCTGACCGGCAAAGAAGAAGCAAGGACCTTTCAGCAGTACTGTGTGAAGGGGTTCCAGTTTTCAGCCTACACTGCAGTATCAGACACAACCGCCTCAACTAGAGGGGCTAATGTGAGAATTCTGGCTCGTGTGAGATGCCGCATGACATTTAGGAGATATCAGAAGCTGTCTCACACCAGATTGTATCTCCATTCAGCCTGGTGTTGCCCATTCTGCATTAGGTTCCCTGGAAGGGGCATGTTTCATCAACTGCTGGATCTTTCTTAAACTGGCAACAGCAGGAACCACTCAAACACAAAGCATGAACTCTGTCACTAAGCCTCTATCCATTACCTTCTAAACTACCTTGGGATAAATATTTATTTATTCATTTGACACTTCTGTATACCGTCCGCTACCAAATGGTCTCGCGACGGTCTTATAAAACAAAGTGCAGCACAGCACCCATTTGATATAATAAAATATTATAAAATATAATAGTAGAAATACCTTAGATAAAAGTTAATATAATGCTTTGAGGGATGGCTCAAAACAAAACAAAATAAAACAAAACAAAGATTAGCATGGTCTTTCAGCTCTTGGAGACCATGCAGAGAGTCTTCAAAAATTCAAGATGAATTCGTCAGAAGAAGGAGCTCTGCTAAAAATGAGAAATTAGACTTCATCCCAATTCAGACCAGAAAACTGAGATTAGGATAGTAAAATGATTACAAACTGGGAGTTTCATAGAAGGAGAATCATGGGTCCCATTTCTGTTTTTTCAGGGTAAGTCACACACACATCTCAAAAGGATGCTTTTGATACTGCAACAAAAGTAAACTCAGAGGATTTTTAAAGAAACAAGCTCTGCTATTACTAGCCCCACTCAACCCAACTCCATTAAGGCTCATAGATTACCATACCTTTGCACCATAGTGGTAACCTTGGCTTCAGGCATCTCACCTAATGCTGCAGAAAGATTCCATTAGTCATAGGAAACATCCGCCATCTATTGATCTAAAGTGAAACACTTTTGAAGTCCATTATGCCTTTGTGAAATACTGTGCTGCTCTTTTTATTTACTAGTGGAATAGATTTCCAGTGATAAACAAAGCTCCTTTCACACCTGGAGGTAGAAAAGAAAATACCATTAGAAAACAGCATGCATCTACATAACTTTTCTGAAACGTGTGCGTGGAAGTTAGGAGAACCTCAGTGTGCTTCTTCCACACACACACACACACACACACACACACACACACACACAGTAGAAAACTTGAGGTCAGCAGTCCAGGACTGTCTGTTACACTTCCAGTATTTGGTGGGAAGGGGAAGGACAAACAATATTTTAAGTGTTCCTTCAAAGTAAGTTCTTGATCTTTCTACCTGATCTCATTCTGTCCCCCGATATTTGCATTTCTAAGTGCAATTTAAAAAGTCGGGGAAAGACGTTTTCCCCACTAAGACTGGCATTCCCAAGCTTTAGTCTAAGGGAGAAAGAAGGGACGTTCTAAAAGTATGGGAAAGTTTAAATCATTCCCCCGCTAGAGTGCAACTGCTTCTACAGAATCCTTTGCCTCCTACGCAAGAAAGCTCCCACTTTAGGTTGTCCAAAGAGAGACCAACTCCCCATCCCAACCAACCGTAAGATGGTGACATGCATTTTCCCCGCATTCCCCTTGAATCCTCCACTCCCTGCAACAGTTTTAGGAAACTACAGTGTTCCCATCCAGCATCCTCCAAATCCTTGAGCAGGTACCTTGAGGCATGACAACACTGGGTGTCTGAAAGTGAAATAGTCGTTCTGTATGAGAGCATACAAACAGGCCTTGCACTCAAACGGCCTTCTCAAGGCTGGGCATCCGCCAGAATTTCAGCCATTGCTCTGTTGGGTGCAACTGATGAGAGCTGGGAGTCCAAACTATGGGAAAGGCGGATCAGGGAAAGCTGCCCGGCACTGGTTACTTCCCCAGCGTGGTGCCATTAGCCCCCGTAGTTAAAAAAATTCATTCAGACATTAATGACTTAGGGAATAGAGATTTGACAGATACCCCTCCAGACAGATCTGGAGGAGCCAGCTATGGGTTGCCATGTCTCTCCCTGGCAGCTGATAATTTCAATCATACATTTCCCCTGCTTTCCTCTCTCTTGAATTCACTTTTTAAAAGTCTTCACTGGTGCCCATATTGACACATGGCAATCTGGAGCAAGAACAATGTACATATTCAGCAAAAGCATAAAGTACATATTTGAATGTTCCTCCGTTATCAAAACTCTTTCTGGCTGTAGAAAGCTAATATCAGGGCTAAACTTAACCTAACAGCATTACCTCACTTGCCCTTTGCAAAAAACAAAAGCAGGTGATCAAGGCCGAAGAAGCGAGTTCTGTCTTGATGCAAATTCCATCCTCCACCCCAAAGACAGTCCCAGTTTAGAGAGTACCAGGAGCATATCCGCATAGGTGCACATGCCTAGTCCAGCCATCAATCATCGTAATTTTTTTGGACTATCAGCTTTGTGTTACTAGACTTATCCCTGATGTGCTTTATCACGCAGGAGGCATCAAACATAGAAACAGAGAGAGTCAGAAGGGGTCTCTCGGGCCATCTAGTCTGACCCGTGGCTCCAGCTGGCTCCACTCATGACATGCCCACCATCATGTCAAACATCATCTGTGGCTTCCATTCTGAAATGATACAACCCCAGAAGAAATGTTCTATAGAGCAATCTTTCCCTCCTCTCTGTTCTCCAGATGCTCTGGACCACAAATACCATAATTTGGAGACCTTATCACCACCATGCTGGCTGGGGATAATGGTGTTCACGGTCCAATCTGTCTGGAGAGTACCAGGTTGGGGGAAACGGATATGCATCATTTTGCAGAGGACTGTTTTGAAAAACAATTCCTAGCATTTTAAGCTTTAAGCTCCACTAATTTAGAAAACGTGGATGGTACAGCAAAAGTGGGCAGACCTCAAGCTTCTAAAAACAAACAAACAAATTTCCAGTGTTATCTGAAATACATTTTTTGAGTTATGACCAAGCTTACATCTCTCCCCACCCACCACAACAGGGAAAGAAAATCCAATAACAAGAAGCAAATGCTTTGCATTAAAAGCCACTCTGCTGAAAATGAATTTTGCCGGTACCAAGAAACAGCAAGCGTCCATCATCTGTCATTAATATGATGGGCATCCTTCCAGAAAGGATGTGTTTAATTTGTATGAATTCATAGCTCAAAATATATCTCTTAAAGGTCAGCTGCATAACAGTATAAGGGCATCCTATTAATATGAATTATAATGATCTTCCCTCAAATGCAGCTTTCTGCATTTTAGCTCCCAGTGACAAATATTTTTAATGTTTAAGGCTGTAGCAAACAGCTACAGTTACTTCATCCTGGTGCCCCATAAGGTACAGCATTTGCAAGACTAAATCAAGCAATTAATCAAAATGTAGCATTCCACCCTTTGCTTTGTGCTTAAAAAGAGTCCAGTGACTGACTGCAAGGACGTTCCAAACTCTCGTGGGACAATCACGCTTTCACTTAGGGGTGAGCATGAACATTTAAATAAGAGCTCTGATCTCATCCTGTTTGCTCCAACGCTTAAGCTTTTTTCTTTCCTCAAGGACAGGAGAACCAGTGGCAAAACGGACACGGTTTTGCAGCCGACTCCTTTGGCCTTCTCATGTAATTTGTCAGAGGACTCACACTAGCTTCAGGCAGCTTTCCAGTGCTAACCAAGACGAGAGAGAGCTACTTCCGTCTCTCATTCTCCCTGTTTCTTCCTGGTCCTTTTCTCCGAGCCCCCCAGGATATTAACTTCTCCGAAACTTACACAGGGCATCAACGTGAACAGTTTTTCACGCGCCGCTGAAACACAAACAAGGCATGTTTATTTACATCATGTCACCTTCTCCCTAGATAATCTCTAGCACACCTTAGAATAAAATAAAAACTCACTTTGCAAAAATTTAAACACCAGTACACAAAGAGAACAACAGCAGAAAGGAGGCTGAAAGGAAAGGCACTGGAGTAAACTGGGCAGGGATACATACAAGACAGAAATAAAACATACTAAGTATAGTCAAATGATACCTAAACCACAGCTATGGTTGACCTTGGGTCACTTTTAATGAGTGAGATTGGCAACAAAATCTTGCAGTGTGGAGTGGTCCTTTTTCAAGATCCAGCCAGAAAGACAAGCCCTCTTCCAAAATACTCCATTCTATCCCCCCATCTCCAGTTTTCCTATCTTTTTTTTCTCAGTCAGCCAGTCTTCCATGGCCATGTTCCCAGTCCTCAACGAGTCAATCTGGAGCTTCTTTCCTTCATTTCTTCGTTGTAAAGCCTTTTCTTTTTCGAGGGGTGAATTTATAAACTTTGCAACTTTCCCATGGTGGCTGAAACCTTCCCCTTGAGTGTGAAAAGTGTTGTGTTGACAAGAGAAGGCTAACACAGTCAGGGAGTAAATTCACACTTAGCATACAAAATGTCTCAAAGACCAATATATTTTTAAAATGTCAACTGAACCACTGCAGGGGAAAAATATTGTAAACAACATTTTTTAAAAGCTCACCTAAGGTGCGAAGGTTTGCCTGAATTGTACTTTGGGGGTCTATTGATTTTCTATTTCTCCATGCAGACTTCAAATGTTAAAATTAAACTATTGATTTTCAGCATTGCTTGAACACACGGAATGGGCTTTGCTAGTTGGGCATTATGAAGTTTTTGCAACTTAATTTGTGCAAACCTGATCATGCCCCAATTAGCAAAGTCTAACTGGAGTTAATTGACTCATTAGTTATTTGGGTAATGTAAAAAGTAATGAGGCTAGAGGAACCAACACTTTTACAAGGCACAGAAAATAGAAAGCTCTGTGCAAGCTAAATATTTCGTTGGCAGGACTGGGTTGCTATTCCCTTATGATACAAATATTATGTTCAAAAACCCCTCTACACATAATTTAGCATATGCATAACGAAGGGGAAAAATTCAAGAAATTTAATAATTCAACCTGAATTAATCGAGTAATTCAAATAATTAAACCTGAAAAGTCAAGTTGCTTATTCTGTATTGAGTAAAAAACTATGAATCAGTTATTTAATATTTCGCAGGAAAACGTGATCATTATCTTCATTCCTCTCTAGTCTGATAACTTCTAAGGCTGTGCATAGAAGGCCTTCCCAGTTCGACACTAAAAGTAGGAGCAGGGGAAACATATGCACATGTCCTTCCTCCTGTAACAAAAATAACTGCACACAACTGGCATGGAACTGACCAAGTCCGACCCCAAGTTTTCCACACGGGGCCTTGCTAGGAAAAGAGCTACATCATGAGACAGCATGGAGTCAATAACACTGACCTGGTTCGCACAGCAGGACAACCCAGAGTATATGAGGAGTACGAAAACAGGACGTTGTTGAACCACAGCTGGCTGTGTTGTGTGAATGAAGCCACACAAACAAACGAGGGCTTGATAATGATCCCTAGTTTATAAAGCAGCAATACGGCACAGGATAATTTCCGGAGTTTTTTCGGCAGAGCACATGGTATCCCGCCATTCAGGACACATTCCATCAGGTGCACCTTGGTTTTCCGAACCCTAACCCTACCCTGGATTTCCCCATAACCCTAAAATAGGACCACCAACCCATGAAATGTACGGATTTCTAAAATGCAAATATTCCTGGGATTTTTCCAGCCCTCTCATTCTACCTCGGCCGTCTGAACGCGTTCCCACCCTCAGAAACATCAGGGGCACCTTAGTTTTCCGAACCCTAACCCTAACCTGGATTTCCCCATAACCCTAAAATAGGACCACCAACCCATGAAAT